AATCAATCTTGCTTGGCCAAGGCTAAATTTGATCTCTGAACTGTGGTGGCAGTGCCACTAGCCACAGCCATTTCTTTGAAGCTCTGCACCATATCTCATGTTGTAAGTACCGTTTTGCATATGGCATATGCATATACATAGAAAATCTTGCACATTTCGTTAGTTTCAATTCCTAAATCCGGACTTGGAGCAGTCGCGCACGATTCTTGTCATTCGATACGTTTTAATTACTAGGAAAAGTCTGTCGCTACATGCTCCTCATAGTCAACCCACATTGTTCCATGAAACTGAAATTCCTTTTGAACGTTCCGATAATGCTAATATGATCCTTACAAACGAAAATGAAGCAGGTGTGAAGGCCGTTGATGAAGAGAAAAGGAAAAGTCTTCAAAAGGACTCCACGTTAACGTCCGAGGTCGAATAGGGGAAATACACCGAAGTCGAAAGGCAGAATGAATAAAAGTCGAGGAAATCCTCGACAGGCGGTCTGGCGTCTTCAAATCGCATGCGAAGTATGCAAGTGTCAATTTCACATGATGCAATCGTGCTGGGCGTTCGCCACTGTCTCCGCGTCCGTCATCAAGACGATCGGTTGGGCCGGTGTTAAACTTTGCGAATCCAGCGTTTTGCAGCGAATCGTAGGATACGAGCGTTGCACGAGGATACGAGCGCACCAGCGAATCGAGCTCTTTACCAGAGGTTCTTTACGGCCTTAGTGCCTTCGAGCTCAGGAGAGCAAAATATTTGCAGCTTCAGTGTACAGCTCTATCGTAGGCACCTAATTTACCTCCCATCATGGGTTGTGATTCAGTTCATAGAATCTTCGCTCAACGTAGGGAGCGCTCCTTCATATTGCAATCCTGTGTTGTTGTGTTGTTGTGTTTTGTCTCCCCCGATTCTCGAGCGATTGCACTATTTGGTCGTCCATCTACTTTTGCGGCGTCTCAGAATTCGTTATTTAGCGCTCTACCTATCGGAATTAACTCTTCAAGAATATATATACAATAGAGTCACCGCCTAAGAACACATAAAACCTTGGGGCTGCAAAAAAAACACCATCGTTTTATTCTTTGAGCTTATATTAGCCTTTTCGATCGGAGATACAGCACTTCCTCTCGCGATAAGTAATCTCCTCAAAGAGTCTGCTAGCTTGCCCCTCGGAACAAGCGTTCTTCTAGCCCTGACGTCAGCAAACCTTCCTAGGATGACAAGATAGAGCCGTCGCAAGAGGGGTGAAGAACGTCCTTCTGCTTTTTTCGGTCATATACGTTTGAGCAGATCCGCCTCACTGATGTCGTCACTTTTTCGTGAATGCCGTTGTGGGTAGCTCACTAGCAGAATGTAACTCCTTTCAGGACCGAAACCACGTCCCCAAAAGCTAGTTCTAAGGCATTCGATACGAATTCCACGAAAGGGATCAAGGGCTTCCAGCTACCGTTCGACATCTTATCTGGGGGCGATCTTTCTGTGATCGTAAATTCTTTTCCCCTCTCGTACATTTTTACCCTCTCTAGACTCAACATCATTTCTATCTCCGTGCGTGCTTACTAGAAACTCCTCGCGCGAGCAAGAGACTGTGGCATATTTCGGTGTTTCAGATTTCTTTTCTCTTTCTCCTCTTCTTAGATGCTCACGTTCTCCTTCCTATCTGAAGTGACCATAAAACATCCGATTTGATCCCTTATCCTTACCTTTAATTCACTTATAGCCAAATCTAGAAATTTATTATTTGTTTATTAAAGGAATCTTGCGCGGAAAAATCATGATTCTATTTCAGCCATAAATCACTGGCTTGAGACTCATTATCCACGATAATAGTGAAAAGAACTGAAGTATTGCTTTCGTTTTGATTAGAAATTCGAAAACTCGAAAAGGCTGCTACGCGTTCGAATTGCCCACGGACGTCTTTCACGAATGCTGGCGACGGGGATGCTCAAACTTGGTTCTTGGAGTGCATTCACTAGAAGCTCTTTCTGGCCTTCTGCTTCGTTGCATTCACATCTTACACTTCTACTCCATCCTATTCCATCGATCGATTTGTCTCCACTCTCCGAAATCGCGCGCTTTAACCCGATTCTCTCATTGCGTCGCCTGGTACGTAGCCGGCCAAACGCCGTCTTCTTTCCATGCCTCGCCTGGCTCTGCCTCCTGGTCCTTCGATGGTCCATAACGTGTAGTTTTTGTACGTTTGTTTCTCTTCAGAAACCGAATCTTCATGCGTGAAACTTTGTGTGCTATTTCCAGTGATCACAACTGACATATTCATGTTAGGAAAGAGTGCAAGAATTTTCCGCGCAAGATTCCTTTAACTTTTTATGAGAGCCTGTTCACAGCAGATCGTACAGCACTGCAATCAAAATATTAATACAAATCAACACAGTCAATAATCCCATTTGCGGTAACACAGTAACTGCTTCTTTGCCCTACGCATTTGAATAATACAAAATTCCTGAGGGGTAAACGGCATATTGACCTTAAGAGAACTAAATGTTGAGCCAGCTCTACAAGTGAAGCTCGAGAGTTTTAAGTTTGTTTGGGAGTTACATAAGAAATCTTCTCCGACGACCCTAGTTCTAGAGTTAACTAATCGATAGAATTTGGATGAGTCAACTTTAGCGATACCACACATAATTTTGAAAATCATACAAGCATCATAGAGCTTCCGACGAGAATCTAGAGTTTTCCTGTGAGTTGAGCCTGGTATGCTAGAACAGACTAAATCTCCAGACTTGATAAAAAGCTTCGTTGTGAAATTGTGTACAGTAAGTGAGCAGGCCACGGAAGCGCTGTGAGACGCTATCACCTTGAGAAGCCGATCCTATAGGGATGCTGTATTGCCTCAAATCTCTGGGCCATACTCGCTTGTAGTCTTCATTCTTAGAACTATCGGTATAAGTCCATGCATCTACTGCAAAAGGCGCTACTCGAAGGAATACGCACGGATCTAGGAGGAGGCATACAAAAATTGGTAAACATGTCAGATCGGCTCCTCAGGGTGAATAGCGTCTCAAGGCGAATCCGTGGCCTGCTCACCTACAATACAGTACTATTATGACTGTGGAAGTGGTGTGGAAAAATTTTACCGGTATAAAAAATCAAAAAATCTGCAATGTCGCATTGTATGGTATGAGTTTTGCGACTGCTTTTTTTTATTTTTTGACCCTAGCCCCACTTTCTGGAAGACGACAAAACTGCTCGGTGATTCCTCTTAACGGGCATTTTTTTTCATGCGCTGAATGGAATGATATTAGCCATTATTGTGGAAGGCCGAGTCGGCTACAGTTCTAATGCATGCGAGCTCAACAAAAGTGGTGGCAAGCCATGAATCCTTCATCCTCACTGGAACAGGGTCAACCCTACGTTGTTACTAGTAACAACGGGGGGTCGTACTTGGTTGGTTGAGTTTGTAGGGGGGGGGTCGTACCCGTTTCAGTCGCTTGAAATCACATGTGAGTTTGAGGTGAAACTGAAGTTTTTATGGGTAGGTAGGCTGGGTGAGTAACCTTGGGGGAGGGGGGGGGTCGTAAAAAAATTTCAAAAAGTAACAACGATAGGGTTGACCCTGCTCGGGAAGGCTCCTGTTAGTAGTATCTTTATACTTTCGAACCCTACTGTACTTCCACCAAAGCTCTGTCACTCCTCGTTATGTCCCCACCCCCTCCATCACTTGGAAATGAGAATAAAGCGCTATTTTTGAAGTTGTTATGGCACTTGACGGTACTCAAATCGATCATTCTCACCTTCTTATCACTTGTCACTCTCACTCTTCCACTCATCTCCAATGTTGCTATGCCACTCGTGATTGACAGCACTCCACCAGGAACCTCAAGAAAGTGAACAACTTAGCTACGTTCACACCAACCGCTTCTTATACCCTCTCACTTGCTTTTATCCTATTACACACACCGAGAATGAAACACCTCACGTCTCTTATTACTTGCGGGCGTGAATGCCGTGCTTCAATCTAGAATTCCTCAAGGTGTTTGGTTACACGTTGTGTTACCTCATGTTTGTTGCTCATCACCCTGGGTCGTATCACTCTTTTTAATAACTCGTCAGCAATATTTCCGTTCCACATTGCTGGGCAGTTCCAGATGTGAACAGATGCAGCTAAGTAGTTAAGGGTTGAAAGTTCCACCTTTTCGTAGCTCCCTTTTCCTCCTCTTCTCTTGCCAGCCACCTTTAATTTGTTACCCTGGCTTATCATCATCGGCTATTGAGAAGGCCTTGAGAATGATGCAGGGAATAGTATCTAGGATTTTAAGATCACCTACAGAAAACAGATGAGACACGAAGGAGGTAGAAGGGGATAAGGTGCGTTAGGAAAAGACTTAGACGGCGAATTTGCTTTGTCAAGTGCAAATTTCAAACTTATTACGCACCTTATCGCTCCTTCATGTCACGTTGCTCCCCGAAAGTATCGTCTTCTTATGTTGAACTTATTCGTTTTCACTTGGGATTGTTGTGTTAACATCTGTTGCCTTGGTTTACATTGTTACAACTTTTAATAGCTTCTCTTCTGTTTTTCTATTTCTTTTTTCTCCTTTTCTTTCTTCTTGGTAATTTTATGGGTTCCTCTCATTCATTTTACATTCATCAAATTCTTATTCG